CAGAGAAAATACTACAATCGCATAAAAAAGATACAAATGCGAAGGTATTTTAACTCGTCGAACTTTAACGTCCTGCTGTGCCTGCATCACGGTTGTGGAATTCCCTACCGTTGTCCATTTGTTTATCCGAAAGTGTGGATACTTTTTAAGGCTCGTCTCAAAAGCACATCTTCTTAAGTCAGTTTATTATATGTCTCTCTGTCTCTCTCTGACCCTTCCTTATCCTCGTTCTTACACGGCGCCCTGAGACATTAGTGGCAGGCGCCTTCCAAATGAATGTAAATCATGATACATTTTTGCGTTTCCTGCAGTCGATATATTAACGCGCTAATGGGTTAAGCCCCCTGATCGGAATCTCGGCGGATGTGGCGACGGGAAACGTGAAACCCAACGCGGGAGGGGGGGGGACCCCGGGATTGCTTCTGTGCCCCACCCCCCCCCCGAGTGGCAACCACAAGAGAGGGATCCGAGAACGCGTGGGTGGTTTTGGTTGTTGTTGTGGTTGTTGTTGTGTTGTTGTGGTTGTGGTTGTTGTTGTGGTTGTGGTTGTTGTTGTGGTTGTTGTGGTTGTTGTTGTGGTTGTTGTTGTGGTTGCGCTAACAAATCATAACGCTCCCGTCAAATCAATTTACCGATTCCGCCCACAGATGGCCGCGCTTGGCGCGAGTTCACCTTCTCCGCGTGGATTTTAAACAACAACAATAACAACAACAATAACAACAACAAACACCGCGCGCGCGACCCTAAAAGACGGCGGCAGCGTCAACTAAAAGTTGACTCGTCGCCTGTAAATGATCAATGTTTAGTGACATCCCAGCGGCACTTTGTAATTAAGTTTATGGGTTAGGCGCGAATTAGAAATTGCGATATTTACAAGGGTTGGGTAAATCGTAACTCTGATGCGGGTTATGCGTTCGGTCGTGTTGTGTGTAAAGTTTAAAAGGTGTTTGACGTCACGATCTACGTGTATATCAATCATTCAATCAAGACTGTATTTCTGGATGCCATTCAAAGTGCTATATAGATTAAATAAATATTATATTCTTAGCTCTTTCGGTAAAGTCACGTTGAAGGGAAAGAGCTACGAATATGAATTACTGCAGTCACGAAAGCTTTAAATCAAAATTTAAATAAATATTGTTAAAATATTAAATCACAAGAATAATAAAAGCTATTTCCGTACAAAACACAATTGCATTATAATACATTGCCGTCGAAGGCATATTTTAAAATAACACGATAAAATAATATTGAGTTAAAGCGAATGTAAAAAGGCGAGTATTTAGATTGTACTTAAAATGTATTAATATGGCGGGTGTGCGGAGTGGTGATGCAGTGGTTAGCGCTCTGTCCTACGGACCCGCCGACCCGGAGATCGATTCCCGCTCAGGACCAACTTCAGCGAAAAATATCTGAACTGGACGCGGTGCTGGCCACCCAGAGCGCCCTTTCCTGGGTGCTCGCTGACAGCACGTGGCGCGTTTCAGATTCAGCCAAAAGAGCCACGGGAAGGAACGGAAACCTGATGGGCAGCCGCGAGTCGGCGTAGACAAATACCACCGTGACGCCTTGGGCACCGCGGTAATTCCACCACCACTAAGCAATTTAAAACAAAACCACAACACTTTAACACGTAGGCTTTCGCGACCAAAATCATCCATAATAGACGTTTTGGGGGTTAGATGGCGTGAACACGCGACAAATGAAGATGCCGCTTGTTCTGCTGCTGCTGGGATGCCAATGAAGATGCCAATGAAGATGCCATTCGTGCCACCGTCCGTCCCTTGCTGCCAACGCTGAAACACCGAACGCAACCCTCTGCCAGATCCCACAGCTGCTGGCCGCTAGACACTGGGCGACCTCCAACCACTTGACCCTGCCAGTGATCCCTCCTTCTGCTCCCAGGCCTTCCCCTCGCGGGATTCGTAGATATCGCTCCGACGTTGCGCGCTCTCGCGCTCACCCCCTGTATGAAAGAGGAAATGCTGCAAAGCCAACGACGAAGACTGAGGAGCCACGGTGGCTAGGAGATGTTAACTACCTCGCCTGGTATGCAGGAGGTCGTGGGTTCATTCCTGACCCTGACGCCTGCTGCTGTATATTTGAAGTTTGCGTCTCTCTCTCTCATCATCATCACGGTGGCTAGGAGATGTTAACTACCTCGCCTGGTATGCGGGAGGTCGTGGGTTCATTCCTGACCCTGACGCCTGCTGCTGCTGTATATTTGGAGTTTGCGTCTCTCTCTCTCTCTCATCATCATCACGGTGGCTAGGAGATGTTAACTACCTCGCCTGGTTTACAGGAGGTCGTGGGTTCATTCCTGACCCTGACGCCTGCTGCGGTATATTTGAAGTTTGCGTGTCTCTCTCTCTCATCATCACGGTGGCTAGGAGATGTTAACTTCCTCGCCTGGTATGCGGGAGGTCGTGGGTTCGACCTCGACCCTGACGCCTGCTGCTGTATATTTGGAGTTTGCGTGTCTCTCTCTCTCCGTGGTCGCGTGCAATTCTTCTCCGGATCCTTCGGGTTTCCTTCCACAGTTCGAATCAACATTATGCGTTGAGAGTATTTGGCTCCTCTACATTTCCACATGATGATGATGAGCCACTTCGTTGAGATATAATATGTGGCCAGGCCGCTTCTGAAAAAGAGCTACATAGCTCAGCGGGCCTTACCTGGTAAAATAAAAAAAATAGTTAATAGTTTTTTTTTTTAACGGTTTATAGTTTAGTTGTTTGCTTGCCAATGGGCCCAACCTCTTTAGCTCTTTCGGTAACGTCACGTAGGCGCTGTGGTTGTCCCGCCTGATGACGGACGCTCGTGTTGCGTCCGAAACGTCGTGATTTAATTTATTTTATACTTCATACCTACTACGTGACTTTACCGAAAGATCCAAAGAGGATGGATCCCTGCAGTCACGAAAACTTCAAATCTAGAATCGGCCCATCCTTCCATCAGGTGACTTCCACGTAGCACCCAGCGCACCCGTTGTTGTTATTGTTGTCGTGTGTGTCTAATTACGTCTAAAAGAACTCGCCCGGGACGCTACCTTTTGTGGACTTTCGCATATTCCGCTCTCTCCCGCCTTGCCACGACATTTCCCCGGCGTCCGTCTCAGACACCCGCGCTAGAAATGGCGAGTAGCTGGCACACGGGTTTAAGGGATTGGTGGTGAGTAATCCTCTGCTCTGCTGCGAAGTATCGTCGTTGTGCTATTGTGTTCGGTTCTTTGGCAAGCAGCCGAGCAGACGGCGCATCGGAACGCCTCGGCCTGGATATCAGTTTGAACATTTCATTACTTTTATTTTGTCTTACACACCCCCCCTCCCTCCCGCCACCATGCTCTCTCGCTCTGAAAGATGAATCCAATATCTTTTGAATGATCTACCTTCGAACAATAACGTTTTGCGCGGTGTTTGTCAGCGTCAAATATAAAGCGTCTTTGCCGTGGTAGGATTTTACTCGGCGTTGTGAACGCGCGCGCGTACCTGAGCGCGTGCACGCGCGCGCGTACCTGAGCGCGTGCACACGCGCGCGCGCGCGCACCTGAGCGCGTGCAATCTGTTCTGATTGAAAGTTAACATCCCGTAGACAAAAACAAATTCAATATTTAATTAGCTGGCTATATATATAGAAGAAAGGTTGCGTTAATCGATAGTACGTTGGAAAGTGGTTTCAAACAAACATAATAAGGCGCGTGCGCGCGCGCGCGTCTGTGTTGATGTAATTAACACGTTCCAGAGAGCAACTAAAGACGTTCGTGGAGACAGTAGCCCTCTTGGCATTCGCGAATGCCGAGGAGCTTCCACCGGTTACATCGAGAGCCCTGCTCCAAGTCGAGGCGTCAACGGGAACGATGCCGCTTCAGTCAACGTTCTGGCGATCGCAGTCGAGACGAAGAATTCTGAGTGTTTCTTTCATTTCCCCCCTTTCATCGAGCAACGTGATCAACGTCACGTGGGGAACGGGAAGCCTCTGGCCGAATATGGGTCCCGCTGTAAAGGGAACGCCTTCTGATGAATGCACAATTGCACGTGTTGGTTGAGGTCATTTTGTTGTCGGTGCCTTAACTAAGCGATGGAGAGAAATCTGAACGAGTACGTCGACGTGTGGAGGTACAGCCTCACTCGCCAGACGAGGCTCCACAATGCTGCGGGGAGAGTAACATTGCGAGTGACAGTGAAGTGGTGTCACCTGTGAAGGAGTCGTGTGAGGAGTTAGACGAAAGCTGTTCAGGTGGAGATGAAAAACGACTGGGGAGGCATCGATGGCGAATCCAGAGCTCTTGAATTCGCCATGAGTTCAGGACAAGTTTAATTTGCGTAGCCAGGTGAGAACGCAAGAGACCAGGATGAATCTCATATGAGACTCATATGCAAGAGAGCGAGTGAGTGAGTGAGTGAGCGGGTGAGTGAGCACGCTTTTTGGTGATATTGTGGCTGAGATGGTGGGTGAGTGGGTAAATGATTGAGTGACTGAATTAGTTCATGTTTCAAGTTTATTTTCTTTAACCAGGTGGGATTTAGAGAGACGAGGAGGAGTCACATTTGTACGAGTGACATTGGCTCCAGTCATCTCTCCATTGAAAACTCATCTCTTTAGAGACACTTTTTGTGTTTAGTTTGTTGTCTTTCCCTCGCAGCTCCGATCAAAACGGTTGGCTACGTACGACACGAAAGAAGCTCAACATGCATACAACACACAATCATACAAAAAACAAAGATCCCCCATATAGCCTTAACAGACTGTTGGGGCAAGTGCTGTAAGCGAGCACCTCTGAAGGCCGGTACGGTACACGAGGGGGTGGGTGGCCAGCACCACGCCCGACCGCCTTTGTCTCCCCAGTGGCGATGTTTACACACCGCACCAGGTACTCATTTGAGGCTGAGTCGACCTAGGGGAGGCCAGGGACCGGTTTAGATAATCGTCACTGGTGTTTTGGCCGTGAGCGGGAATCGAACCCGTGTCGCCGGGTTCATAGCGCAGCGCGCTAACCGCTACACTATACAACATACATAGATACACACATAAATGACAAAATCCAAAACAAAGTAGTGATTTTTAGAAAGTGATCAGATGAAAAGAAACACTACGACACACCGTAGCACGTGAGAAATACAAAATATCGCACGCACGTAAATCAGACGGTGACGGCTAAATGTAAAAATTCCCCGCAGCGCAAATCGGCTGGGGCAGATTCACCTCCAGATTGATCATTGCACAATTTATTCTTTCATTAAAACGAAGACAAAGCTACAGAAACACGAGCCCTTAAACAGGTGACTCGTGCAAACAAACAAGGATGCACGCTATGTCGAAAGCAATCATCATAAAGAACAATGTGACGTATAAACAAGGAATCGGTGTCTGGCACGTTGGGAGCAAATGCGTGAGAATCAGGAGAGCTTTATTTCCTTATTTGACCATGGAATTGCCGATCAAACGCCTCCCTCTGCAACGAGAACAGCGTCAGTTGATTGAACAATTCGTTACGGCTCCAAATCATTGTACATGCTGACATTCGAACGGAGTGAGCCGCTCTTGCCAATAACGTCACGAGCCCATTCAAAGTCGCCCACACGGTGGACTCACAGTGTCAGAAAACATCGCTGCCGAGTGGACTGCAAATCTCGTTAATCTGTCCCTTTATTGGAGAGTGCGTTGCTATAAATGGGCCATCGAGCGTTTACGTTGCCATAAAGTAGAATGCTATCCTTCATAATAATAATAATGTTTCATAACTGTTCGGAGGTGTGCGTGTGTTTTAAAGCAGGTTCATGGTAAAGCCGGTGGTCCAAGCCAAGATGTCTACTGGCAAATACCTTCTCCATAACAATGGGGGGGTAAATAGACATCTCAAAATGCACAGATTCCTCTGGGTGTTCTTGCGCGCAGCGATCGGTACAAGCACGTTATTTTTTTTGTAAGCCCAAAAAAATGTTGATGGAGTAATTTAATTATTTCTCGCTTTCGACCGCGGTGTCCAGGAGGTGGGTGTTGCCTTCTCGGGAGGTTCTGTTCGTGGCTTCAGATTAAAGCCATCACTCAATCATCACCACCACAACCACCACAACCACCGCCTCCGCCCCATTCGTACCGTAAATTTCCTGGGTAAACTGGAGGCAATTTCAATTAACCACCGGCACTTTGAAAATACAAAAAGAAAATCGATCTGACGGCCCTGTAAAATAATGTTCAAGTTACATTGCTCCTAATGAGAAAAAAATCCCGTAAAAAAGTGGATGCTTTATTTATTTGTTCTAACCTAGAATCCGAATAAATAGTGATTGTAGGTTAGAGTCTCCTGCTGATTTTTTTCTCAGTTCAACTCGATTCCAAACTCGACGATTGGTTCGATTTGGTGGCGTGAAGTTTCCTCGATTGGTTTAGAGGGAGGATCGCCGCAGTAGTAAAAGGCCCCAAACAGGAGGATGAAGGCCTCCCAAGGCCGTTTCCACGTTCCTCGCGACCCTCAGCGAGTGGTGGACACATTCCTGCAGCAGTCCCTCCACAGGGCCACCACTTGTTGATCTGCCAGTTCCTACCTCGCCGCACTCTGCAGACCTCAATGTCAATTTAACACCGAGGCTTTGAATTATGGCGAATCGCCCGATGGAGCTGGTTGTGGTTGTAATCGCCAGCGAAACGTCACGGCACTCTGTAAATTGTAAATGTTGCTGTGGGTTTACTCTCCAACACACCGGTGTGCTGAAGTAGTAACTGAGCACGTTTTGTTTACATGGCAACCCTTACTAATTGGCTGTGTCGGGTGGTGGCGGGTTTAACGACACATCTATCTTCATGGGATCTAACCCCCCCTCCCGAAAACAAAAGATACACTTTATTCTGGACGTATGAAGATGCAGTATACTTGGCATCACAGGTATTGGATAGAACAGCTGCGTGTTCTAACCCGACTCGTACGAGCACTCTCACGGGACAATAAGCCGACATTAAACGCTGATGCACAGGTAATGGTTGGCTTGTCAACCCCATTGGATTAGACAAGCGAATGAGTCTGGGCTCTTGTCACGTCTGTGGATAATGTGACCTCAACGTTTTATGATGGGAATGTCGGCGTGTAATTGCTCGGCATCGATTCGGTGCGCTGTGAGCCCTCGAGAGATGGCTACGGCGTTGGGAGGCCTTCATCCAGCAGCGAATAGAACGCGGCTGATGATGGCTGCCTTCTTTTGAAACTGTTGCACCCTGTGGTGCCACGAATCCACCTCGCGCATGCGCACGAGCCGATCCCAATGCGCTCCGTCTCCACGGTGGCCGTAATCTCGGCTGCGTTCCCTCCTCTAGTTGGCTCCCAATGTCATCACCGTGTCCACGATTCCACCCTTCCCTTTCATTCGCTCTGCTTCTCTCTGCTTCTCTCTGCTTCTCTCTGCTTCTCTCTGCTTCCCTCCGTGTTTCGTCGCAAACCGTTGAGGTTTGCTTCCATTCAATTTGTGTCGGGAACATTGTTTTCATGAGAGACACAGCTGGAAAAGAACAACAGCAACATCAACAACACAAACACCATCACCACCAAAAACAACCATATCTTTGAGCACGATGATTGAAGACCTTGCCGGGATCAACGCCTATTAAATAATGGGGCAAGCGAGAGCAGGTTGGAGTGCGTTTGGAAAACTCAACTCGATTGTGAAACCCATCAGGACGATGTGCCTGAAGAAGAGCGCTGTCAATCAGTGCACATAGTGGTGGCATGGCATGGACACATTGAGAATGTTCACGCGGTGTACATGGAAGTCAGTGTCTGCCTGACAAATTGTCAAATCAGCATTCCGGCATCGCTCATGTCATCAGTTGCCCGTATCAATCCAGTGGTAGAAATCGCTGCGGCTGGCGGGGGGGTTATTCTGTTCATGAGGTTGACTTACCACAAAGCGGTACCTGATTTATACACCCCAAAATTGATGATGTGCCGAGTCAGCCATTGACCGCGATATGAACTGGCAACATTCTGAATGCAAGTCACGTGCCCTGATCCTCAAGCACCACTTGTGCACTGTGTGAGATAATGTTTTATGAAGTGTTGATGAATATTTGGAGGGGGAGAACCATTTTCTAATGCTAGTTAATAACGAGCCCTTCGTGAGAATGTCTTTATATAATGCACGTACGCACGTACGCACACACGCACACACACGCACACACACGCCGAGCCATAATTCACAGACAAGTGAACTGTACATTCACAGCACTTCCATTTGGAAGATTCATAAATCCCGGATTAGCCGGAGAGTTGAAAAATAACTTCACTTTAAATCTTTTCTTATCCAATTAAACCCACACGACGTCTTATTACCGCTGGCGGCTGCAAAATTCTCATACACCTCAATCTATCTGTGCGCTCTTTGATGTTAATTCATCCCCATATGCTGCATGGGGCCCTTTTTTTCCCCACCCCTTTTTATTTTTTTCCAGGCGCTTGGCGGTGACAGTGGGAGGCTGTGCCGGGTTTGTGTAATGCCGTTTGCCAGGGGATTTGCTCCGGGCATTCTTTCCTGATAACCAAGTTATCGAACGTTGCATTGATTTTTTTTTACGAAATGAGCTTCTGTGCATCTTGCAGAATGCAGTAAGCTCGGGCTACTGACGTCCCGGGCACTGCTGTTTTGTTTAGAAAAATAATAAAACAAAAAAAAATGTTTCCAAGCTTGAAATGTTCATGCGATTCAATACGACCGACTGTTATGACTCTGGCTACGTGATGGTTTCTTCATGTGACCAACCCACACCCCTTGGGAGTTTCGAGTGTTGTTGTTGTTGTTGTGTAGCCCGTTCGATAACGCCCTCATTTGTACCGTGCGAAGGGTTGGATTTGCCTTCTGTTGCTGTTGCGCGCATTTCATGCAATTAAAACAATTTTACGAACAGAAATTGGCAATAACAGATGATTGTTGCAACGGTTAAGTTACTGCGCTTACCACGAATATAGCAATGTCGTTATAATGCAAGACGTCTCATGTTCATTGGTGACAAAAGGTAATTGGGCTTGGGCAGGGGACGTTGCTTGAAGGGATGATTCCTCCGCACCTCCGATTAGCACCGTCGGCTACGTACGGCGCGAAAGAAATTAAAGCGTACATACAACATACATACAACATACATGCAACATACACGATGGTAAACAGTCGAGTGGCGCCAAAGCCCAGAGGAGGAACGACGCTCGAGAGGACGTCTGGCGTGGAGACGGAGCGATGAGATGAACTCAGCTGCAGCAGCTGGATGGGTTGTTGTGGCATTGCGACACGATGTCGGGTGGCGACCACTTGGGGGAAGCCTTCATCCAAAAGTGGATAAATCATGGCCGCTGCTGCCGCTGTCACTGAGGATGATGATGATGATGTTGATGGCGTGAGCTAGAATTCGACCATCGTGCAGTTTGTAGCTGTCACTGAGGATGATGTTGATGGCGTGAGCTAGAATTCGACCATCGTGCAGTTTGTATCTGTCACTGAGGATGATGATGATGTTGATGGCGTGAACTCGGATTTGACCATCGTGCAGTGGCGCTGTCACTGAGGATGATGATGATGTTGATGGCGTGAACTCGGATTTGACCATCGTGCAGTTTGTAGCTGTCACTGAGGATGATGTTGATGGCGTGAACTCGGATTTGACCATCGTGCAGTTTGTAGCTGTCACTGAGGATGATGATGATGTTGATGGCGTGAGCTAGAATTCGACCATCGTGCAGTTTGTAGCTGTCACTGAGGATGATGATGTTGTTGATGGCGTGAGCTAGAATTCGACCATCGTGCAGTTTGTAGCTGTCACTGAGGATGATGATCATGTTGATGGCGTGAGCTAGAATTCGACCATCGTGCAGTTTGTAGCTGTCACTGAGGATGATGATGATGTTGATGGCGTGAACTCGGATTTGACCATCGTGCAGTGGCGCTGTCACTGAGGATGATGATGATGTTGATGGCGTGAACTCGGATTCGACCATCGTGCAGTTTGTAGCTGTCACTGAGGATGATGATGATGTTGATGGCGTGAGCTAGAATTCGACCATCGTGCAGTTTGTAGCTGTCACTGAGGATGATGATGATGTTGATGGCGTGAACTCGGATTTGACCATCGTGCAGTGGCGCTGTCACTGAGGATGATGTTGATGGCGTGAACTCGGATTTGACCATCGTGCAGTGGCGCTGTCACTGAGGATGATGATGTTGTGCGTGAGCTCGGATTCGACCATCGTGCAGTTTGTAGCTGCGGGCGAGCTGCCAGCGCAATGCTGCACGAGTTGGCAGGGACGCGCGTGCCCTGAGACACGACAACAAAGACGTGCCCGCGACGTGCCCGCGACGGGTCCGTCGTCACCTTCCTGTCGACGGCCGCGCCGCTCATCCGACACGGATGGGCACGGCACCATCGCAGCGTCGCCGCGTTCTTCCGAAGCGGCTTCAATTCGCGTCGAGACCGCGGCTGCATGCAGCGTGTGCTGGGATTGACGTGGGGGGGGGGTGGTGGTGGTGAAGGGGTGAAGGGGAGGGGTGGTGGTGAAGGGAGTGGTGGTGAAGGGGAGGGGGTGGTGGTGAAGGGGTGAAGGGGAGGGGTGGTGGTGAAGGGGAGGGGGTGGTGGTGAAGGGGAGGGGGTGGTGGTGAAGGGGTGGTGGTGAAGGGGAGGGGTGGTGGTGAAGGGGAGGGGGTGAAGGGGTGGTGGTGAAGGGGAGGGGGTGGTGGTGAAGGGGAGGGGGTGGTGGTGAAGGGGAGGGGGTGGTGCTGAAGGGGAGGGGTGAAGGGGTGGTGGTGAAGGGGAGGGGGTGGTGGTGAAGGGGGGGTCGTGGTGAAGGGGAGGTGGTGTGAAGGGGAGGGGGTGAAGGGTGGTGGTGAAGGGGAGGGGGTGTGGGGGGAGGGGGTGGTGGTGAAGGGGAGGGGGTGGTGCTGAAGGGGAGGGGGTGAAGGGGTGGTGGTGAAGGGGAGGGGGTGGTGGTGAAGGGGAGGGGGCGTGGTGAAGGGGAGGGGTGGTGCTGAAGGGGAGGGGGTGAATGGGTGAGGGTGTGTGAAGGGGAGGGGTGGTGGTGAAGGGGAGGGGGTGAAGGGGTGGGGGTGGTGGTGAAGGGAGGGGGGAAATGGAACTGGACGCTATCGACTCCCGATCGGTCGCCGTGTCGCCGTGCCGCGTGTCGAGCGTCCACGCGCTCAGAGCCCCGCACCGCCCCAGGTGCTCGCGGTGCTCCTTGTCGCCTCTGCCGCTCGCATTCACCTTGGGGGATCAACAATGCGGACGCATGCAGCTTCCACGTCGCTCCCTGCCCTCACGCCTTTTTCTTGCCCCCGCCTCCCTACTACAGTGCTCCTGCAAGGTCGGTAACCAACATCACAAGGAGAGCATTTTTTTCGAATTCGGTCACAAAAACTCACATTTAAAGAGTCCGCAATGCACTGCGGCGGCGGCGGCGGTGAATGCGAGGCGCTGGTGGTGCCTTAATGAAGAACGTCAAGAAGCAGCAGCTCCTTAAAGAGCCGCACGCTGCCGAGCCTGCGCGATTGACCGCAGTCGTGACCTGAGACGAAAACGTTCCCACTGTGAACTCCGCAGCGAGCAGCAGCAGCAGCAGCATCAGCAGCAGCATCAGCAGCATCAGCAGCAGCATCAGCAGCATCAGCAGCAGCATCAGCAGCAGCAGCATCAGCAGCATCAGCAGCAGCATCAGCAGCAGCATCAGCAGCAGCATCAGCAGCAGCATCAGCACAGCAGCAGCATCAGCAGCAGCATCAGCAGCATCAGCAGCAGCATCATCAGCAGCTCCAGCAGCAGCAGTCACACCCCGTGCCAGAGACTGGTCCACAGAAGATGTTGTCATGGAACTGCTGCTTGCGAGTTCCTCAGCGCGCCTCTTTATTCACTTTCAAAGTCCTACAATGATCCTCTTGCAATCGCGGGGCCGCGGAAGGATTTCGATGACTCGGGGATGCTTTAATCCCGGAGTGAATCGATCGTGGCTCATGAGAATGATGAAGTGAATAACTATATTGGATGTGAAGTTTATTGTTGTTGTTGTTGTGCAGCCATCGATAACCCAGCTGAGAACATCAACTGGATACACAGAATCCGGTTTAGTGACGGGCTGCAGAAAAACCCCGATTCGAACCGAGGCGCTCAGCAGTGCTGGGTCAGTGCTCTGATCGCCGAGCCTCCTATCCCACTTCACTCGCCACCCTCATTCTCAAGGAAAGGATTTCTCAAAGGGATTTCCTGCTCAGATAATCTCCGAGACGGTGATGATCTCCATCTGTGGCCAGGTCGCTTCTGAAAAATAGCAATATGGCTCAGTGGGACTTACCTGGTAAAAAAAAATTAAAAAAGTAGTTTAGAGTGGCCTTCAAAAGCCGTCCCTGGGCAGCGAATGATTCTGAGGAGCGATAGAAGAGCAGCAATCCCAAGCTTGGCGAGTGGGCAGCGTACGGGGGAGGGAGGGGGGGGAGGGGCAGTGTCATCCCGCGACGCACCGCCACATTTCCGCCTCGCGGTGTGAATCGTGATTTCGGACGAGGTTGGAACCTCACCTCTTGCATCTCCTTGTGGAATGTTCGTCTTGAGCTCGCACTACTGTCACTGCGCACGAGTGTCTCTCTCTCTCTCTCTGTGTTAATCACGTTAGTTAGCTACGCAGCCCCCAGCGCGCAATGCTTTGGGTCGTCTTGGAAGGTCGCTTCCTACGCGCGGTGCTCCGTTCAATTGCGCTTCTCAATCGCGTTGGCGCTTAAGGACTTGTCAAAAACGTGCGCGAGGCACGAAACCCAGTAATAAACTATAATGGTGATGGTGATAACAACAGACACAGCGCTCTTTATGCAGAAAATCCCAGGGCGCTACACAATAACAAGCACACAAATACCGCAATCTGCCCTGACATTGATAACAAAACACCCATTGGCCAACTACGCTCGCGCTGAAACATCAGCTGATGGAAATTCAATATCGTTGGATTTGACTGAAACACAGAATCAGAATATTTAGTTGTAAATAATTCAACGCTTGACCCTGTTCCCCGTACGGTTTGTGACGGTGCTACAAAGGCAGGCAGCATTCAGGCTAATGGCCCTTGCTATCTGTTAGGGAGGTCACTGAAACTATTAAACTATACTAAATTGCATTTTTCCAGGTAAGGCCCACTGAGCTATATAGCGCTTTTTTCAGAAGCGACCTGGCCACAAATGATAGCTCAACGAAGTAGCTTATCGCGTGGAAATGTAGAGCAGCCAAATACTCTAAACGCGCGATGTGGAGGGGAAAAACCTGAGGACCCGGAAAAAAATCCACGCGACCACGGAGAGAGAGAGAGAGACACGCAAACTCCAAATATACAGCAGCAGGCGTCAGGGTCGGGATCGAACCCACGACCTCCTGTATACCAGGCGAGGTAGTTAACATCTCATAGCCACCGTGGCGGCCAGACTCGGCCACGGAGTCAGGCTCGGCCAGAAGTTCCCCGAGGCCCAAGGCAGGAAGTCACGTGTGTGTGTGTGTGGGCCTTATTAATTAAACCATTAAAAACACCACAGGGCCGTTGTGAGGCCCTTTTTCGCGTGGCCCCGGGGAAAGTCGCCCTCTGGGTGGCCTCTAGCGGCCAGCGTTGGCGCGGCGGTTAACGTCACCGCCACTCAGTGGTATTTGGCGGTCGTTGTGGTGGCGGTGGTGGTGGTTGTTGTGGTGAGCCATGTGCGGTGGGTAAAGCACCTGGCATCTCATCGCGCCAGTTGCGCGGTGGCCCCAGCGAGCCGCGCGCTGCTCGCTAAATGTCGCCTCGTGAGTCGGCACTTTGCGGGGGGGGGGGGGGGGGCACCGCGGCAGCTTGCGAGCAGCACGCCCAGTGCCTGGGCAGTTGTTCACCTTTGTGCGCGCGAGGGGTTATTTTTTTCTTCTTCTCTTCTTCCTATTTCAAATTAAATTATTTAATGACGTTGCTACCTCTGCCGCGTAATGACGAGATGCTATAACGTGCAAATGCGTCGCGAGATGTTCAGGTTGTAAATGTGACATCTAGCTATCAAGAATAAACATTCAATGTCTGTTCTCAGACATTGAATGGAAGAGGGGGCGGGAGGGTGGGGGCCCCGGGGGAGGGAGGGAGGGAGGAGGGGAGGGAGAGGTGGGGGGTGGAGTGGCTCAGTGGGTTGTGAACTGCGCAGTGAACCCGATGCCATGAGTTCGATGCACAGCGGGGGGTGATGTCTGATTCAATCTTGGACGCTACAACTTCACCAGGCCTCACTCACCAGCGTGGTGAAGTATGGTCAAACAACCCACCCTCGCCGTCCCATGGCCAGCATGATGAAGAGCTAGTTGTCTGATCCACGCGCTCCTCCTATTTCTCGCGGTGGGAAGAGCGTGCTGTTCTCTCCACGCGTCTTTGTACGTGCGTTAGTCGAACCGCTTTCGCAAGCGATGTTGTCTGTACAGCCATAGCCGGTAACGCGCAACACGCGGCGCACACACACACACATACACACACATACACACACATACACACATACACACACATACACACACATATACACACATACACACACACACACACATACACACACATATACCCACATACACACACATACACACACATACAACAACAACAACCGCCATTCGCCACTAAGTGGCGGTGACGTCACCACGACGCTTGTGCCAGGCTATGTGCACCCTGAGGCCACGTGAAGTGTCGAACGCCCGCTGGCAGGAGGTCACGGGGCAGACCCAGGTGCCACGGGTCGACTGACTGAGATGACTGGCTGATGCACCACCTGTGCCCCCTACTGTGCCAACCTGCTGTGCTTTAGCCACCCGGCGCTCCGCTCGCTGTTGTGAGCGTCGCTCCTCCGCCCTCCTTTGTTGTTGGAGGGCGACTGCCTCCAACTGCCCAGTAGCATCCTTCACGAGCCTCCTCCACAGAGGCCGATCTTGACACCGCTGGTACCAGTCATCGGCAAGTCCACTCAGCTCCACGTCCTCCTGTACCACATCACTCCATCTCTTCTCCAGCCCGTGCCGCGCCCGCTTAGCCCCCTCAATCCGGCCAAACAAAAGCTGTTTCGGCATGCGGTGGCTGGGCATGCGGGCAACATGGGCAACACACACATACACACACACATACACACACATACACACATACATACACACATACACACACACACATACACACATACACACATACACACACACACACACACATACACACACACATACACACATACACACACATACACAACAACAACCGCCATTCGCCACAGTGGCGGTGACGTCATCACGACGCTTGTGCCAGGCTATGTGCACCGTGAGGCCACGTGAAGTGTCGAACGCCCGCTGGCAGGAGGTCACTGGGCAGACCCAGGTGCCACGGGTCGACTGATTGAGATGACTGGCTGATGCACCACCTGTGCCCCCTACTGTGCCAACCTGCTGTGCTTTAGCCACCCGGCGCTCCGCTCGTTGTTGTGAGCGTCGCTCCTCCGCCCTCCGTTGTTGTTGGAGGGCGACTGCCTCCAACTGCCGAGTAGCATCCTTCACGAGCCTCCTCCACAGAGGCCGATCTTGACACCGCTGGTACCAGTCATCGGCAAGTCCACTCAGCTCCACGTCCTCCTGTACCACATCACTCCATCTCTTCTCTAGCCCGTGCCGCGCCCGCTTAGCCCCCTCAATCCGGCCAAACAAAAGCTGTTTCGGCATGCGGTGGCTGGGCATGCGGGCTACATGACCCAGCCATCGCAGCCTTGCCTGCCGGAGGAGCTCACCGATGGGACCCTGCCCAGATCTTTCAAGGATTTGTGAGCTCCTCACACAATCCAGTCTGGTTAAACCCAGGATGGATCGTAGGCAGGCCAGCCTAAATGTTTCTAACCGGCGAAGATGTTCCATTAGGGGGGTCCACGTTTCGCAAGCGTAGAGAAGGGAGGGAATGACCGTGGCCGAGAAGACCTGAAGCTTAGTGCGGAGCGACAGACCAGGTAGCTTCCACACAGCGTTACGCAACCGATGAAAAGATATTGCCGCTCGACTGATTCGGAGTGAGACCTCTGCTGTTAAACTGGAGCCAGTCATAAGCACACTGCCCAGGTATGGGAAACTCTCCACTCTCTCCACAACTGCCCCATCACCGATTGGGAGTTGTGGGGGTGGAGTGTCCGATGGTACAAAATACCCAGGCAGGTGCTTAGTTTTGGTGGGGCTGATGGTAAGGCCCCACCTCTTAGTGGCACGCTCCAGTCTCAGCAGCAGCGTCTCCAACTCCTCCTCTGACTGAGCAGCTATTACCAAATCATCAGCATACATAACGTGGTTGAGCAATAGGGAGCCACCCCTTCACCGCACCCGGGCATCGATTAGCCTCCCGTTATATCTGTACCATATGGAGATTCCCCCGGTACAGCTATTGAAGGCTTCACGAACTACGTGGTCAAAATAGATGTTAAATAATGTGGGAGCCAGAGGACATCCCTGTCGCACCCCAAGGTGTACAGGGAATGGCTCTGACTCCCGGCCACGTAGTTTTACCCGGGCCCGCTCACCATCATGAAGGTCCTTAATGATCGTGTGCAGAGGGTCAGGTACTCCAAAAGCACGAAGAACGA